CAGACATCAATCTAGCTCAAAATAGCTAGCACTGAGGATTTTGAATGTTCTCAACACTAAGAAATGACAAATGTCTGAGGTGACAGACATACCAGTTACCCAGAGCTGATCATTACACACTGTATACATTTTACTGAAATGTCCTACTGTGCCATATAAATGCAACAATTATCATGAGTCAGCTGAAAATGTAAAAATACTTTAAAAATTTTTTTTTCTTTGTAGAATGCAAAACAAACAAACAAACAAACAAACAAACATTGGGATGGAAACCAGTTCTGCCAGATGAGGTCTCTCACTGATTTCTTCCGCTTAAATAGGAAAAAACAGTAAAACTAACTGGCACACAGCTGCCGTAGCAACAGCAATGCTTTGAGCTGCTGTGTCCATAGGAGGGCAATCAGTCTTCCCTTGTCTTGTCCCCAGTCTGCCTGATAGCTTATTGGAGGGTCTGGATGGAACTGTAGCAGGGAGGAGGACCAGAAGAGAAACAGATAGGCTGTGTTCTGATAATGAGGCAGGGAGAAGGGATGGCAAAGCAGAGAGATAAAACTTACAGAATTGAAACATGAAGAAGGTCACATAGCACTGGGGGAATGAAATAGCCAATGAAGTCACAGGCAGCCATATGTGGGTTGAGCTTTGCTTTTTTGCTTCTGTAACCTGCTTACAAGGTTATATAAGGTGATACCCCCTTTGTTCTTGGGGCTCAGCCTTTAGACACGAGTCTGCTGAGTTTGTGCCGGCACAATAAAACGTTGCTTCCTGCTAAACTGCCTCAGTGTCCTATATCTCAGCTTGAGATTCCTGCAACAATAACTGGGATGCCTTGGATGTGACAGCTTTGCAGTGGTTTCTTCCTGTCAGGCAAGCCAGCATGCTGGCTTAACCCTGGCTCTTGGGGTTGTGGTCCCAAGAAAGCACAGAGCAGTTCTGCCTTTGGATTTTAAACACCTCATCCTAAGAGTGACAACCACAGTCTGAAACATGCTGTGTGCACCCTGTGTCATGCCATGTGCCTGGAACACCACTGCACATCTGGGCTGTGTGAGCCTGCTGAGCCACCTGACAGCCCCTTTCTTCACTGGAATGGCCTCCACCCTACCTCATTGATGGCCAGCTGCTCACCGCCCCCTCCAGGGTGGCTGTAGTGGTGGCTGGAGCCATGCAGGTCCTCATACAGGTCCTCCTCACTGCCCACTTCCTCAGAGCGGATGGCTGTGTCCAGAGCTCCATCAGGCATCCCTGGAAGGAGAGACAGCAGCTGGTAAAGGGAGTTGGATTGAATGGAAAAGGAGCAGGTCGACTTTAGGACAAATGCACCTGGTGTGGGAGGAGGCAAAAGGTTGGGAAGCTGGTTTCTAAAACCATCCTTGCTGCAAAACCGTGGCCTGGTTGAAAGCACATGCAGTCACCATCACGGTCGGTTCCCTAGCGATAGGAGTCTTAGCCCTTTAGCTGAATTCAGTTAAAAAACCACTTACTTAAGTATGGGCTATAGAAAATCTTTAAAAAATGTTAAAAAGTTATAAAATACTATAAAATGTTATGAAATATACAGTTTACCCTCTGTATCTATAGGTTCCCTATCTGAGGACTTAACCAACTTTGGATTAAAAATATTAAAAGCAAATTGTGTCTGCACTGACCATGTACGGACTTTTTTTCTTATTTTCCCAAAACAATACAGTAAAGTAACTATTTACATAGCATTTACATTGTATTAGGTATTATAAGTAGTAACCTACAGATGATTGAAACTATACAGGAAGACTGTTCATGAGGTCCTGGGTTTCAGCCCCAACAAATGAACAAACAAAAAGAATGTAGGAGACTGTGTAGGTTGTATGTAAACATCACATCATCTGTGTGAAACTTGAACATTGGTTGATTTTTGTGTCCACAGGGGGTCCTGGGACCAATCACCCGTGGATGCTGAGCTATGATCACATATGTGATTATGTGTATATTCAAAGAAAATGCACAGCACATGGAGCTTGACATTAAAAACAGCGAGTCCTTTGGTATGCACAAAAAAAACAGCAAAAAAATCTTAGAATTCTATGTTCTGTCTCTACCACTCCAACCCACTCCCCCGCTCTCTTTTTGAGATGTGTAAATCATGCCCATATTTATCTTTGCTTTAGCATTTATTTCTGCTGAGTCTTGCCTTGGTTTTGACTTCACAAAATGGAAACACCCAGTATCTATTCCTTTGTAACCGGCTCTTTTCACTCAGCTGCTCATGTGGCTATGGTGAGTCCATTTTCGCTGAGGTGCAGTGTCATGGCCAAGTCATGGGATTGGCATTAGCAGGCATTTTTGAGAGACTAATGGGTATGAGGTGGTGACTTACTGTGGTTTTAGTTTACATTGCTGATTACTAATGAGCTGGGCATCTTATCTATGTTTATGGGTCATTTTTATTTCCTTAATGTGAAATGTGTATGGGTTTTTACCCATTTTTCTATTGAGTTGCGTATCTGTAACATATCATTGATGTAAAAATAAAAAAGTAGGTACCTGTGTTTATACACACATACACACCCATTGTGGATTAGTGTGTCACTCATATGTGACGACTATATTCTTCAAGTTTGTAACTTGTCATTCTGTTTAAGGTGACTTTTGATGAACAGAAGTTCTTAACTGAATATAGAGAAATTTGCTAATCCTGCCCATAATATGGTTTACTTATTTGGGTATTTAGGAAATTCTTCCCTAGTCAAAGATGTGAATGTATTCTCCTATGCTATCCTTTAGTGTTGTTTCCTTTTGACATGTAATTTTTTAATCCACCTGCAAATGATTTCTGTGTTGGTATGAGGTAGGAATCAAATTTCATTTTTTCCCTATGAATAAGCAGTGGTCTTAGTACCATTTGCAGAACCAGTAATCCTTTCCCATGGATCTATGAGTCTGCTCTAACCTAAAGTCAAATTTCCATAAAGATTGGTATGTGCCTGGCTCTTGTGGGAGGAAGAATAATGGTCTTCAAAAGATAGAAAACTCTTATCTCCAGAGCCTGGGACTATATTTTACATGACAAGAAATCAAAGTTGAGATGGAATCAAGGCTGCTAATCAGTTCACCTTGAAATGGGCAGATTATCCAGGATTATCTGGGATCTCTGGGCCCAACACAGGAGAAAATACCAACTTTCAAAACTCCTTAGGGTTTCACTCCCCTGTGAGAACCTCATTTGATCTCTTGTTCCAAGAACTGACGCTGCCTCTATCTTACCTTCAGCGTGGTCTGAACAGACTAATTGCATGGCATTTATGCCCATGATGTATCCTGCTGGCCTGACTCTGCCCAGCTAGACTGTGAAATCCTCAAAGGCAGTAGCCATGTCCTATTCATTGATGTTGACATTCAGTCAATGTTAATGTTAAATAAACACATAGATGGTGGCTAAACATATAAACTTAAAAATGGAGAGATGGGCACATAAACAGATGCAGGGCTGAGGATGAGTGGCCTGGCAAAGCTGATGCCAGCCACACAGAAGCTTCCAGCACATAGCTGCACAGTCACTGGGTGGCCCTGTCTCCAGCGTGGCTGCTGTGGCTGCACCCAGTGTTCCAGCAGGGGCCAAGGGTCCTGCTCCCAACCTTGTACACAGTCAACAGTCCTGATGAACCCTCATAATTTTTATTTCATTTATGTTTTAAAATTGTTTTTAATACAGAATGCTTCAAATGTGTACAAAGGGTGAAAAAATGGCATAAGGAGCCTCATATACTCAGTGTTCAGCTTCAATAATTCTCAACATTTTGCCAATGTTGTTTCATTACTTAATTCCTCGCCCCACCAGATGAGATTTTATTTTTACAAGAAGAGATTTAAGGTACATCCAAGAAAGTCTATAGTCCCACATGTAAATACCATAATATGTGATCCTAAGAGATAAAAACTCTGCCTTTTTAAAAGAACATAACCTCAAGACACATCTAAAACACACTGCAATCCACCAAAAAAGTGCCATACTCTCTCCTGTAGGGAATTAAAAAACTTTTCATGTTACAATAACTGCTGGGTTACAGCGTATTACAGCTGCAGCACAGAGAGACTTCACCCATTTCCCTCCATGAGTATGTCATATTTAATCTTGCATCATATCACAGCCAGAGAACTGGCAGTGGTACAATGTGTGTGTACAGGTTTTTTTGTTTATTTTTGTCTTTTTTTTTTTGAGACAGGGTATCACTACATAGCCCATGCTGGCCTCAAACTTACCCCTTTCTTGCCTCAGCCTCTTGAGTGCTGACATTAAAGGCATGCATTACTTTACCTAGCTCTAAATATAGCTCTAGGTCATTTTATCACACATATAGATTTATGTAGCCATCAGAGCGACCTGTTCACAAGCTTTTGGGGTTGACTTTTTCCATTTAGCCCTGGAGATCAGCCAAGTTGTTGGGCATATTATATTTCACTCCTTTTTATTGCTGAATAGTATTCCATGGTATGTAAGTTCTCCAGCTTGTTTAATCATTTGCCTGTGTAAGAACATGTGGATCATTTCCAATCATTGGATATTTCCAACCCAGCTGCTGTGGACACTCATCAGCAGAGTCTGTGCAAATGTAAGTTTCCATCTCTCAGGATAAATTCGCAGGAATGAATTGTGGGTCACATGATAGTTGAAAATTTGTTAAAAAAAACCGCTAACCCATTTTCTAGAGTCACTGTTACCATGTCACATTCCTATCAGCAATGCCAAGGCTCAGCTTCTCTGCACCTGCACAGGACTCGGCATTGTCATTGTTGTGCAATTTAGACGGTGGGCATGCAGTGATAGCTCATCAGGGTCTTGATCTGCATTTCTCAAGAAAGTGAGGTGGTGGTGTTCAGTGTCTTTCCATGGGCTCATTTGCCATATCTGTTCTTTGGTGAGTATCTTTTCATGATTTTTGTCTGTTTTTAATGGATATTTTTGTTATTTTAATGTTGAGACCAGAGAGCTCTTTATTCCTGATATGAATTCTCTGTTAGGTGCATAATTTATAAATACTTTCTCTCAGTTGGAGCATATGTGTTCATCTCTTGACAAGGGCTTTTGCCCAATTTATTAACTGAGTCACTTCTTTTGGTGTTCACATCTAAGAAACCTTCACCAAACCCCAAAGATTTTTTGGGTTTGCTTCTGGGGGTTTTACAGCTTACCCTTTTACATTTAAATCTATGATCCATTTTCTTTTTTTTGTATAATGTGAGGATTTAAGCCAAGGTTCATTTTCATTGCTTATTGATGGGTTAATAACTCCAGCACTATGTGTGAGAAGAGATCCTTTACTTGCAGAATTACTTTGTACCTGTGTAAAAATCAGGTGGCAAAGTAGGGCATTATTACCAATTTTACAGAAATAAAAAATTATAAAAGAAATATGATCTATAGTGCAGACCCATAAATTAAACTGGATGAATTTGAAAATTCCTAGAAACACATGACCTGAAGCTGACTCAAGAGACCACAGAGAATCTGAGCAGACCATAATTCAGAAGGAGGCTGCATGACTATCAAACCCCCAGCAAAGCAAAGCAAAGTCTAGAGAATCTACCTTCTGGTAGTGAACTGTGATCAAAGAATAACTCATACAAACTCTTCTGAGACTCTTTCATAACATTTAAGAGGAAGAAATACTTCTAATTCATTATTATATAAGTACAGCATTACCATGATAGCAAAACTAGACAAAGAAAGTATAGAACAACTGGGCTAAAAAATGGCCCATATGCATATAGATACAAAAATCTTCAAGAAAATGCTAGCAAATCAAATCTAGTGGCATATTAAAAGGATTATATATTATGACTAATGCGATTTATTTCTGGAATGCAAGGATGGTTCAACATATCAAATGAATCATTATACACCACATTAATAGACTGAAGAAAAAATACTTGATTGTTTCAATATCACAGAAAAACTACACACAAAACTCAACATCTTTACATAGTAAAAGTACTCAATAAATTAGAAATAGAAGGGAAGATCCTTAACACAATAAAGGTCATATATTAAAAACTTACACCTAATCTCATACTCAATGGCGAGACACTGAGTTTTGCCCTAAGATTGGGAAAAGATAATGATGCCCACTTTTCTTCACTTCTACTCAACGTAGTGACAGAAGCCTGTGAGAGCAATCAGGCAAGAAGAAACAAAGGGCAACCAAGTTGAAAAATAAGGAAAAATCACCTAGTTTGCAGATGACATGATCTTGTATGCAGAAAACTCT